GTGTGTGTGTGTGTGTGTGTGTGTGTGTGTGTGTGTGTGTGTGTGTGTGTGTGTGTGTGTGTGTGTGTGTGTGTGTTTGGGGGGGTTCTGTAGGATTTTCCATGCCCTTGTCTTGGTCGTGGTTTCAGTGCATTCAGCAGACAGCGTTCAAAAGTGGAAACAACTTTATTTTTCACAATTTTCAAACGAATTTTTGTTTTGTTTAACCATGTCATTTTGACAGGGTTGTTAACACTCTTTTCTGTGTTGTGTCAAATGTAGAAGACATATTTCTTTTCATTTTACAGGGACTTTAATAAAACAAACAAAAAAATACAACCGGAGCTATAAAATAGATTATTAGGATGGTTGTGATCCAGAGTAGGATTGTTTTCTTTTTGATTAAGGTCCGTGTTCTATTGAGTGACATTCTAGCTCAGTGTATGTGAATGCATGAAAAACAACATGCGCATGCCCCCCCCCCCCCAAGGAGGCCATTTCCTCCTCTCGCCTTACCAATGTTTTGCCGCTATCAAACAAGTAAGGAGAACAAGCCCACGGGGACTATCAGCCTGACACACCAGGAAGTGTTGTGACTCGACGCTATGTGTGTCTCGCTGCTCTATTCGAGATGAAAAGGAGGACAAGGTCTTTGAAAGCAGGGGTGTCAAACTCATTTTCATGGCTTGCTTCATCATAGTTCGGAATTGGCCTCGCGGCGCGGGGAGGGTGGGTAATAACGGTGAAACCACATCAGTGTAAAACAGCAAAAATCATGGCTCCGTATGTTTCTTGGTTTTAAGTCTAAGTTTGTCTACTCTAAGGGAACAGACTGCAAAACAAACTCTTGTTTGGTGTAAACAGGAACAGCATTCATGACCTTTAAATCTTCAATCTTTACTTTTTGGAATACCGCAACATGGTTTGTCTTTCCTATCAGGAAACAAAGGTGGAGGTTAAGTGAATGAATATGAAAGAAATAATGAAAATGAGATGATTTTTGTGAACCTAAATTGAAGAGAAATGCCAATTTAATCAACGATAATCTTAGGACAGATGGGCAATCATCTATAAACCAAATATAAAAGTCGAGAGAGTCAAAATAAATACATTTGAAAAGTTTTTGGATTCAATATATTTACAAAGAGGGAAACAAAGTACGTTTTTGCTGTTGATATTTACTTATTGTGACCATTTTGAAACATTGTTTATCAAAGTAAACTGACACTAAATTGAATGAATGCAACTATAAGTACGTTTTTTCCCTACAAAAATAAAAATGACTAAAAACTGCGAACCAGCTCAAGAATTAATTTCAAGTAACTGAATTTGAAAATCAAAAAGTCAAAATCAACTTGCCAGTTGATTTAACCCCGGGATAGCAACATATAGCATGTGGTGCAATTATAATGGCCCGAATATAAGATGGTGTTTTTTGCATTGAAATAAGACTGAAAAAGTGGGGGTCGTCTTATATTCGGGGTCTAGACACTATACCCATTCACAACGCTAGATGGCGCCAGATATCAATGAAGCGAATGCTGAACTTGACTCCCCAGGCCAAAGTGAACCCCTGCCACGAAGAATAAAAATAAAAATAGCGGTAGCACGAAGAAGAAAAATAAAAACTAGCGGTAAGAAGGAAAAGAGAGGAAAATAATCGAAGAGATAACAGAAAATGGAGAATCGTAGTGACAATCTGGAGAAAAGTGGGTCGAAGATCGGCCAGGTTAACCGGCAGCTGAGGAGAAGTTATGATGTAATTTACATTTCAAAAACCAGAAGCCAAACTTGAGTCTTGAAAAAGAGGGGGTCGTTTTATAATCAGGGCCGCCTTATATTCGGGCCAATACGGTATACCAAAACAACCAAAAGGCGTTTGGCATCCATAATGTAGAATATTTCAGGTGAGAGCGCTGGTCATTAGTGGAACACAGACGAGGTGTTAGACCTGCGCCGCATGCGTTTGTCGGGAAAGGCTTTGGCTTCCTCGTGGCGGGCGCTCTTCCAGACTTCTGCTGAGTTCCGTCCCCTGACATTCCGGCTTGAAGCCGATCCAACCGCAAGCGAGAGACAGACTCTCCCGGGCGCCAAACGAGGGCGAGGATCGTGGCGGGCGGAAACCAAGCCGCACGGGCCAAAGCGGCCGGGGAAGCCAGCGCCGTCCAGAAGTCAGCGGGTTGGGTTTGACGCGTCAAAAGCTCTCCACCAGGCGCTCATTTGCAATTCAGCCGCACGCCCGTGAGAGCACCGCATATCCGCCGCATATGCTGATGAATTTGATTAGCATTTAAATGAGGCCTAAATGCCACGCGCGAGGATGACGTTCCGTTTTAATATGAGTGGACAATTGCCGCGTAGAGCCGGCTAATTTCCTTCCATGTCACATTAAGGAATTTTTCCCTACGAATGAGCTATTACAGTTCCTTTGAGGCTTCCTCTTGGTCCCGTATTCCCTCAAGAAGATGGTGCTTAGTCCACAGAAGCCTCCACTTGCCGCTTCCTCTCAGTCAGCTCTCTTCACAGTGAGACATGTAGCCGGCCTTTGACTTACGAGAAGCCAAAACCTTTTCAGTGGGGTGGCTGGAGTGACACGACGACTCACTCGGGGTGGCCGTAAGACGACACATTTGCACACACATGCATTTACCCGCCTGTAACCTCACAACTCATTGGTTGCCAGGTCCGCCTTGGCTATACAGAACACTTTGTCATATCATCCACAGTTTGGGTTTTATGAATGATCACATATATGGAAAGCTGGCCTAGCATATTCCTAATGCAGGATAACATCAAACTGGTGTTGGGCAAAAAATGATGTCACATTCATCTGTCCGATTTCAACAAAACTGGACCAGTAACAAGAGGCACCCCAGTATTTTTATTTTATTCCAAGCCGACGCTATGTTGCAGACTCGTGTTTAGCAGAACGCTGCACTCGGCGCTACATTTGTGTTCTCTGATAGACAACAATGCAGTTTTACCACAGACATATGGACGTCAGACTTTAGTCCAGTGACTATGCTTAGCGTGACCGCGCAATGGCTGGATGAGGGCTCCAGTGTATGAAAGACGACAATGCTTTCACAAAAGTTGTCGGGTCCACACACATCATCGGCGCTCCGCGATGCTTTCCAAACCATGTTTTGACAGCTGAACAGTAACAAAAATATGGTATGTTGCCCCGAGGGACAATTCATGCAATGATCTCGAGGCTATGAATGAATTTGGACCCGCTAGCCTGCGGTGTATAATGCATACGCTTCAGCTAACTGTAATCGAAGCTGTGCCTAGCCAAAGGAGCACAGTGATTCTTCCCCCCCCCCTCTCTGTATTTCTTTTGTCTTTTTGCCCAAATTGCTACTTCATTCTTGTTGGCCTTTCTATCAGAAAAACAAAATTCCATGAACAGGTCCATCCTTTATGCTATGGGATTGGCATATCTGATTGCGCAGTTCGAGTTCACAAACATGTTGATACTAGAGAGACATTGCATGTAGCACATCTCCCGTGTGTGTGCAATGTATGTATTGGGGTCTCAGCCTGACTGCTCGCCTCCTTTGATTGTACGCTGTCGCAGGGGAGGTGCGCTGGTGAGAACTGGAGTGCTCCCCTCTTCCTCCAGCCACGTGAAATACAGTCTAACTCGCACAGATAACTGGTTGTGTGTGCGTGTGCGCGTGTGTGTGTGTGTGTGTGTGTGTGTGTGTGTGTGTGTGTGTGTATGTGTGTGTGTGTGTGTGTTATGTGCGCAGTGGGGGCGTTGGGGGTTCTGTGCCTTCGCCCGCAGCTAATGATGTAATTATGTTGAGAACAAATGCAACAGCGGCGCACATTAGGGAGCCTTTCACAAACAAAGTCAAAACAGAGGAATAAAAAATCCAACTTTGCTCGACATATTAGGACAGCCCCGCCATGATGTTAGATTTTACACTCCTGTGCATAAAAAATAAAAGTTTTGTTGTCAGAAAACCTTTCTTATAAAATTATAACTTTAATCGCTTAAAATTTAGATTTATTGTCACTTGCATATATTTTCCTCGGGGAATTACATCTATATTTTCATAAAATATATTTGTTTCTCATTAATGTTAGGACTGGGAAAATTACAACTATTGTATTTTTTTTTGTTTTTTTTAATAAAATTTGTGTTGTTTTTTTCCCCCAAAATCAATAATTCTCTTGTGACATTGCAGCTTAATGCACATAAAATAAACTGAAAATCTCATATTGCAACTTTTCTCATTAAATTATTGTATCTCATAAACGGACTTCTTTTTTATGATTTAACTATATAATTTAAAATAGGTATTTACATAATTCTGATTTTTTTTTTTTGCCACCATGTTGTGACTTTTTGCCTGTGAAATTCCACGTTTATTCTCACAATTCTTGATTTGGTTTTTATACTATGCCGAGCAAAATTAGAAACAACTCTTTGATTTGTGCTCCTAAGAAAAATGGCCGCCAATCTCAAAGATGAAACCTTTATCAATATCGCAAAAGGCCTATTCCTCTCAAATATTTTATTGTGGCCACCTTGATATGTCACACATGGAGGCTGGAGGGATTATCTCTGCAAAGGAGAAGCACTCACTAGCGCAGATTGTGAGATATTTTTCAGCAGTACTTGAAAGAAATGTTGAAAGAAAGAGACCTTTTTGTATGTCGCTCATCTCGCTTCATTTCTGTCGAGACCGTCTTAATGACAACCCGAACTGTCTTCACTTTTCTGTGTTCTAATATGTTTGTCTCTCTTCCCCCCTTAGGCCACATCTCTCCTTGGAAGGCCTCCAAACAGGTAGGACGCATGTTTACGTGATATTTGTATGTGGCATCTTGCATTACTGAAACAAGTCAGAGGCACAAAAAGCCGTGCTGCCTCAGAGTTGTTTGAGGTTTCGCTCTGTTATGAAAAGAGGAGGCATCTTCAATTTGCACGACCCCCTTCAGATTTCATACTGCACCAGCCTCTGCAATCATCCCTCATTCAGAGCACTAACGCCGAATATCCCGCCGTGATGAATCTCTTCTTTGTGGGTATTGAATCGATTCATTATCGTATCCTTCGCCCGGCCAAGCGGCTGTTTGTCTTTGCGGCATAATCGAGTGAGTGAAGCTAAATATAAAACACGTACTTTAAGGGTGACATGATTCCTTGAGTGGCAATCATCTATCATCCAGACGAACTGTCTGGACTTGGCTTCTTTGCTTTCTTTTCTTCACATTCTTGGCTTCGAACTTGACTTGAACTTATTTGACTCGCCAGGTGCAGACAGACCATTTATCATCCCTAAAGTCCTTGTTTGTCCTCGTGTGGACTTCAGGATTGTATCAGTGTGTTTGTCACCACGTGAAGAAAACTTCATAAAGTCACCTGCAACCTTATGAGGTGGCTGGAGGTTCCGACACACTTGAATGACAGTCGGCTGTTTTGTAAACGTACGAGCTGTGAAATTCACTCAAAATGGCTGCTTTTAACTAAAAGCGGCCCACTCACGGATCCTTTTTTTGGCATGGGTCCTTTTATTGATTGATGAACCTGATGTTGGGGACTTTTTTTTTTCAGGGGCCGAAAATGAATGTTAGACTTTAATGCTTTGCTCCGCCTCCATTAAAAGTCATAGGAAAAAAAAATAAGAGGTTGGCAATCACCCACCCATGGTAAATACTGTAGCTGCTTCTGATTGGTGCTAATTAAAAATGACCACTATGGCATTCGTCAAAGTACGAGTTGACCCGAAATAGCTGACTCCCTGTTCATTTTCAGCCACGGGTCCTCGCGACTTGTCCGTGTGTCCGGTTATAATAGATTTGGCCACCCAATGCTGTCAGGTGTCCGCCCCCCCCCAAAAAAATACACTCAGATGGTGTCAATCAAAACTAAGCATTTTTCTTTTTCGACCAGCATTTGACGACTACTAATTAATTATGCTGTAAACAACTGTTATTGTATTGGATGTTATTGGAATGCGCGAGTGTAACTAATAAAATGGCCACAAAAGCTATTAATGCTGATTGTATGAGAAAAACCTCGAAGCAAGCACTGTGCCAAACACGGGTTAGGACTCATTAAATTATTGAGATAATCATCACGGTTGTAATGCAAAATTGATTGGTGTAAATTGGTTGATCATAAACATGATAACCAGCAAATTGCAAAATATTCATCTGTAGTTCTTCCTAAATCCCTCAAGGGAAGTTTATGTGCTAAAGTACAGATAATGAAAGTTTTTATATATTGAATTCATCGTTTTCTTTGCCTGTGATTGACTGGCAACCAATTCAGGCTGTGTGACAGCTGCGATATGTATCAGCTCGCCCGTGACCCTCGTGAGAATAAGCGGTTGGGGCAATGAATGGTTGGATGTCTTCTTTGCAGTTACCTGACCAGTGGGACCCGCACGGCAGCCCCCAGGCCAACCTGTCAGGTCCTGTCCTGCCTCCAGGCACGCCCTTCCCCAACCAGCCCCAACACCGCACATCTGTACCAGACTCCACCGAAGGCTTCGATCTGAACAAGCCCGACCCCTATGACCTTTATGAGAAGTCCAGGGCAATCTACGAGAGCCGACGTGAGTTTGTTTGCATCAAGGCGCCCGGTCAAGCACATAGCTGAGTCATTTCAGAATTTATGTTTTCCGTGTTTTGTAAAATCCTGCACAGTTAAATTTCAAAAGTTACATTTTATTTGAATCCTAATGTAATTTTAGTATTACTTTAGCAACAGAGTCACAGTTACAGGGTTGTAAAACAGTGTTATTGCTCAAGACTACATGGCAGCTGCTATTCTAACTGTTCAAGAGCAATCTGTAGAATAAAAAGTAGGGAAAAAAATTCTATCAGTATGTTTGGGCGGTACGTCCGCCTCACAGTGCAGAGGTCACGGGTTCGATCCACGTTCCAGCCTTCCTGAATGGAGTATGCATGTTCTCCCTGTGCCTGCGTCGGGTTCTCCGTTTTCCTCCCACATTCCAAAAACAGGCTGATTGAACACTGTAAATTGTCTCTAGGTGTGATTGTGAACACGAATGGTTGTTCGTTTGTGTGTGCCCTGCAATTGGCTGGCAATCGGTTCAGGTTGTCCCCCGCCTACTGCCCGAAGACAGCTGGGATAGGCCCCAGCACGCCGTGCGACCCTTGTGAGGATAAAGCGGTCCAGAAAATGGATGGATGGATTATTATGTTATTTTGTGGTTATATTCCTGAAGGTCAAAGCAATTAACTTGATGCCATTTCTTGTGAGTTATGTAGCTCAATTATTATCTTTATCTCTTGATGGGATTTTTTGTTATCATTATACTGTAGTTATTTTAATTTAGTTTTATAAATACACATTGTACTTTCTGTTTGTTTGCTCTTTCAATTTTACTTGAAGTTATTTCCTTAGTTTTCATGATCAAATTGTTTGAACAATTACAAGAAGGACATATCAACAAAATAATACTGAAAAATAACGAATTCAAAAACGCATTTGTTATATTTGACAAATAAGTGGCTGGGACAAGAAAAAAGACATTTCAGGGGGTGCTCAGGAGCTATTGGGAGTTTTAAATAAGATGTAGCAATTACTTTCACAACAGCTACAATTACATGTTGTGTCAAGACCACCATAACTTACACAACAACTGCACGTTTCTGTATATTCTGCATAGGTTCTTTGAAATTGGATGCGAAAATGTTCTTAAATGACTGACCTGGCAAAAGAAAGAACTCTTAACACTGACATGTTTGCAACAGGTCCAGAATACGAAGAGGTGGAGGTGCACCTGCTGAGGGAGAAGACCGGCTTCGGCTTCCGCATCCTGGGGGGAGACGAGGCCGTGCAGGCTGTGAGTCCGGACGCCCGTGACAAGGCTCGTATGGGACGGGCTGGACCTCACGCTTACTTAAACTTCACCCAGCGTCTTAAAGCCTCCCTCATGTCACGCTACGTGTGCGCTCACTGGCCACTTCAGCAATTTCAAGTTGACCTTTACACAAACAAGGATGCCAGCTGGCGAACAGTCCAGGGTGCACTCAGCCTTTTGCCCAATTGGGAGAGGTTCCAGGTCACCCGTCACCCAAAATTTATTTCATTGTAGATCATCGAAATGACTTCACCAGAGAAAATCCTGCGGCAAATGAAAAAGGATAAATGGATGTCAAGTGCAGATACAGAATTCTTATTGTTGTTGTTTTTTTTTTTTTTTAAACACAGTCGGATCCCCCCACCCCCCGCATTCTCCTTCAAGACCCTGTAAAGTGTTTCTGAATACATTATACATGATTGAAGATAAGTGCATAAAACATGCAAAACAAATCAGTCAGACTTCATAAACGTGTGAACTGGCGCTTCAGGCTGGCGTGGCTGCTTTAGAGCGCCTCGTTGTTGGCCATTAGTGTGCACAAGTCACTTTGAGAAAACAGAAGAGCCAGGGGGAAAATAATCACTCTAATGTGACAATCAATGTGTAGAACGGCACTTTGGGCTAGCATGGCCAATTTAGAGCGACTCATTGTTGTAACATGGAAAAATCCTGCGACAACCTCGGAGGCTGTATGCGGGTATGTTTTCGTAGTCATGTGTAGGCATATTAAAAACGCAAGACAAAGTAGCATCTATTTTTCCAGCACGAGTAGAGGTATTTGAGTGACATTTGACAGTTGAGCAAGCCCACACTGTTCAAGAGCGGTGAGAACAGCTTTTTTTTTCTTCAGGCCATTTTTATTTGCTTGGTGATCATTATGATCATGAAATTTGGCAGGGTTCTCTGTGGTATGTAGAATTGATTCGACAAATCAATTTTCCCTCATACGAACTTTAACATTGCGTCGATCAAAGTACAAGCTCTGGAATATATCTCTCTGACAACGCTCTCTCTGGAAAGGCTGAATTTTTGATTATGGCGTGCCTAATAAAGTGGCCAGTGAGTATATTTACAGTCCCTTTATCTAACCAAACACGTGCAAAAAAAAAGAATAAGTAATAGCAACATAACAGCAGGATTCACAACAGGTGCTTAACCCATCAAAGTTTCCAAGGTCACATTTCGCTTCTTTGCCTTTCTGTCACTCCTCCAGTCTGTCTACATCTCAGTTGTAGCCTGCTGATGACAGGATGGTATGAGAGAAAAGAGGTCACTTAGCTTATAAAGCAAGTTGCAATGGAGTAACTGGAAGAACCACAGAAAGGCATAGAAGCCCAATATATTTAACTTTTTGGAGGAGTGAACTTGTTTTCAAACGTTAGGAGTAAAATATATACTTAAGTACGGATACCTGAAAAATCTACTCTAGCTAAGCTTGTTCCTTCCCCCTGCTGACATTCACTAATTGCCTCCCATACTAAACAATGCCTTGCTAACATGTGGAGTCTCATTGCAATGCAAACCACAGACACGCCCAGCCTGCCGCTTTGCTGCGGCCGATCACACTAATGTCACCTTTGTCCCCAAAACAGATTGTGATCGGCGCCATTATCGAGAACACCCCCGCCGAGCGCGACGGCCGACTCCGTCCGGGGGACGAGCTCATCTCGGTGGATAAAAACGTGGTCGCCGGGAAGCCGCACAAGTTTGTCATCGACTTGATGCACGCCGCCGCTCGCAACGGCCAAGTCAGCTTGACTGTGAGGAGGAGACTGCACATGCCCGGTGAGGAGGGGGGCAGACATTTCGGGGCTTTTAAGAACATCGAGTATGTTTGATTGATGATAGGATTGTGAAAAAAGGTTTCCCACTATCCAAAAAGTGTGAGAAGCTCTCTTCTATAAAGCTGCACAAGAGCTTATTCAATTGTCTCCCTCCAGGTGAAAACTGCCCCGTAAACGGCCGCAGCCCCAGCCTAGTGTCCACTCAGCACAGCTCACCCCGCAACGACGGCGTGCCTCCGGGCCCCGCCGCAGTGGCCGTGGCCACGGAGGGCTCGGCCCTGCACACCAGTGACGTGCTCATTCACCGCAAGGAGAACGAAGGCTTCGGTTTCGTCATCATCAGCTCCCTCAACAGGCCGGAGAATGCTGCCGTCATCAGTAAATTGATTTCCGCACCAACCTATCAATCCAACCTACCTTTCTATCTGTCGAACCAATCCAACCTACAGTTTATACCTAAGTACTTGCCTATCCAAACTGCCTACTGTATCTATCCAACCTACCCAACCTAACCTCAAGCCTGACGGAGAGTAATGTCAGCACGAGTTGGCATTCGTTACATTTACAACTTAATAAAATGTGTCTGTTTCACAGTTCACAGTCACACACACAGGGACATTGCCAACATCCATCCATCAATCCATCCATTTGCTAATCCGCTTATCCACACGAGGGTCGTGGGCGTGCTGGAGTCTATCCCAGCTGTCTTCGGGCAGCAGGCTGAACTGGGTGCCAGCCAATTGCAGGGCACACACAGATGAACAACCATTTGCGCTCACAATCACACCTAGGGACAATTTAGAGTATTCCGTTAGCCTGCCCTGCATGTTTTTGGAATGTGGGAGAAAATCGGAATACCCAGAGAAAACCCACGCAGGCACGGGGAGAACATGCGACCTCCACACAGGAAGGCCGGAGTCAGAATCGAACCCTACACCTCTGCACTGTGAGGCGGACGTGTGAACCAGTCGTCCACCGTGCCGCATATTGTCAACATTTTAGCTATATTTTAATTGTAATTACATTGAACAAGCGCAAAAGTGATGCCTTCACATGTCTACATTATTGAGTAAGAACAACCACACCAAGTCATAAAAGTAGAGTAAACTAGCAACTAATGTAAGTAAATTTAGCCGAAATATTTTAGAGGAACAAAGAGACGTAAAACTTAAAATAAAAATGAGTAATTCCAGCAGATGGTGAATGAACTTTGATGACTGGCAGTTGAAATGCATCACAATTAGACAATAGATATGAACAAAACACCTTTACTCATCAACAGTGTCGAGTACTATTTATCATGCTCATCTAAAAATAGCTGTACCTATATTTCAAATATTTTTATTTTATTTACAATATTTTTATTCAGTTTTTTTGTTTTGATGTGATACACTCTGTGAATAAATGGTTTACTATTCCAACAGAAAACAGGGCATTGTTTTCTTTTTCGCATCGCGTAGTTGTTTCTCATTGCTCTTGCTTCATGTTCTTCCAGCTGTGCCCCATAAAATTGGACGAATAATCGAGGGCAGCCCCGCAGACCGATGTGGCAAACTAAAAGTGGGCGACCGGATCTTGGCGGTGAACGGCCAGTCCATCATCAGCATGCCGCATGCCGACATCGTCAAACTCATCAAAGACGCCGGCCTCACGGTCACGCTGCACATCATACCAGAAGAAGGCAAGTGCGCGGCTTGTGTGTTGTAGTGTTCCAAAACTATTTTTCATTTGAATGATAAGTGGACTTTTTAGTCTATTCTATCCAAAGAGCGAATGAATAAATGATTCCCAGCGCAGCTCTTCACCTCAGGTGATTTTATGCTTCCACTCACAGGCTCTCAATCTGGGCCCGGCTCAGGAAAGCAGAGCCCCATGACCCAGAAACATGGCACCCAGCCCAACCCCGCAGCCCTGACCAGTCAAAGCGGCGCCCAGCTGCCTGGTCAGCCGGCTCCTCAGCCGGGTCAAATGGCCCTTCAGACGGGACAAGCGTCCATCCAGCCTGCTCAGACACCAGCCCAGACCAGCCAAATCCTCATTTGTCCACCGGCAACAGCAGCATCACACCCGGCAACGGCTGGAACGCAGCAGAGCCCTGTCAGCCATCCTTCTGGACCCCCGCCGCAGCTCTACCTACACGACGGAAGGTATGACACTGTCAGAGGAGCAGAAAGAATGTGAATGGTAGGATGGATGCAGAATAGATGGAGAGTAGGGTGATCGGTAGGTTGGATGGTTGGGTGGGTGCATGGATTCAGGGCAAGTTATGATGGATCGGATGATATGGCAGAAGGGTTCATGGACGTAGGATGGATTGATGTTGGTATAGATGTGTAGATGGATCGATGACAGTGAGATGGACAGATATTATGTTTGATGTTAGGTAACACTGCGATTGGCTGGCAACCAGTTCAGGGTGTACCCCACCTACTGCCCGAAGTCAGCTGGGATAGGCTCCAGCCCACCCGCGACCCTTTTTGGTGCGGTGGATGTATGTCGGAGAGTAGGGTGGTTGGATGGATGGATGGATGGATGGATGGATGGATGGATGGATGGATGGATGGTAGTGTGGATATATGGTAGGAAGATGAAGGTCAGATGGATGGGCAGTCCTACCAGTGAGGACAAAGCGCGTACGAGTATATCAACCTTAAGCTGCATGTTGAATGACTGCTCAAACGACTTTCCATACCGAAGGGCTTCTAACTGTGACAAATCAAGTCTTTACTGTCGAGGCCTCGTCTTGAGTGTGCCAGTACGGTCTTGCTGTATACAGTAAGTTCCCGACTTTTTCAACTTTGCTGAGTTTCACCACTCGGCTCATCCAGTCGGTGACACTGAATAATTCACTTCGAGGTGTCCTTTGTATAATGCACGAATCCAAGCTATCAGTGAGTTGTGTGTGTGCGTGCGCACTCTACGTGCGTACGCACTCTGGAGTAGCACTCCAACCCAGCTGTGGCTTTCTACCCATTTTACAAGTGAAAGCATGATGAAAATTTCAAAAGCTTTTTTTAGTGACCCGTGCCTTATATATACACACACACACACACACACACACACACACACACACACACACACACGCACAAGA